ACTCCAATAATGAATTGTAAAATTATACTTTAAAATCAAGGTCACGAGTGGTATCCTTATAATAATTTCCATAGTACCGGAATTAAATTGAGGGCAACTGGAAAGACTTCAACCGACCATAAGTAAGTTATTGATTTACATTATGGGAAGTGTGATGTAAGGGAATTGATATTAGACTTATCAGGATTTCAGCACGTATGTGTTGATTGGTTACATAGAAGTACATAAGACCGGGTTTAATTTCTTAAGTGGTCAGCTCATTATAGTGATAGTGACCAAACATTACTTCTCCTTGACAGTATATTTATCATCAGCAGGATTTTTTTTAGAGTACATTTACAAGGCCTAGCTGTATTGCAAGGTCTCGGATTTGGATTATTTGTTCGAAGTCTATAGTAGCTAGATTTTTACCTGGCTGGGTAATCAATAGGCAGGTCAGTTTACTGAGTAAACAACTGGACGAGATAAATTAAGACACGGTCATTCGGGGGACAAACAGAGTGACCCACATTTGGGTTCACTTTTATAAGTCTACACGTTTAGAGTGTGAGCAGGAGGTACTGTAACGCTGTGTAATAAGTTGATGATATGTCAGGATGAAGTATGCCAATTTAATCACAAGTTCAAGAAAGATGGTGAGAAATTTGTTTTTATATACATTCAAGTTATATATTGAATGTGGGCAGGAAGTCAACCTGTCGTTTCCAAGCAAGGTTTCATCATAATGATCTGTATTGTCAGCCACTCTTGAAATGTTGAGATGCATTTAGGTTTTGACTTTTAATCGTGATTATTTGTGATTATTTGCGAGGTTTTTAAATTTTTCTTTGGATTTTTTTTTTCATATGATGCAAAATACCTTGAGTGTTTTAAAGGGTTCAGTTTTTTTTAAATGCAGAAATAAAGGACCATAGTCAGGGTTTTTTTCAAGAAGTATATTTATTGATATCAGATACTATGTTGCGCAATTGAAATGTACTAAAACAGAAATGAAACTACATGACAAGTGCCTCATTTCCAAGAGAAAGTCAGTTTAACTTGACCTTTTTGCACTTACTGAAAGTGAAAAATATTGATTGAAGTACCGCTGATTCAAAAAACAAAACCATAGAAATTTCTTTTTCTATCCTACCTCTTTGAAATAGGATCATTCTTTCTTAATGTGAAAGTAGTAGATATAATAGGAGCAATGTATCTACATGGACTAAAGGATGACCCGAGACTTCTTATAATTTTAATGCTGGTGAATTTTTGACAAAAGATTGGTTTAGATGATATTAATTTGAATAATAATTAAATAATATATATTCAATTAATAGTTGTACAAATATTGGATATGAGTTATGATTTTATAAAATTGAAATGCACTTCAATCTATAATTTCATAAGAAACCAGCGATTTCAATGTGATGACAGATGATCTTATTCCATTCTGCTGTTGTTGGCATTTAAGGTTTTAAGGAATAGTTGTAAATCCATTCCAAAGTAACATGAAACAATCAGACTTCTTTGGATGCTGGATTTGACCTACATTTATTAGATGATCAAGTGACCACATTTAAGTTTCAGGAACAAGTCTGATTTCTAATTGATATAAATTAAAAACATGTTTGGACCAAACTTATTTAGAAAATTGCTCTACCAGACTTGCTACAGATGCTGAATGTTACTTGTATTTTCCAAGTGAGTGACCATATTAAAGTTTAATAGCACTGGCTCATTCACGAGTAACTATATAAGCCCTTCCAAGACTAAAGAACTATATGCGGTATATTGCATTTGTTTGCCCCCACAAAAGTCAAATTTTGAAAACTTCCTGAAATGTGCTGAATTCAATAAATTGTACGAGAAATATAAATTAACAGAAAATATTATAGTTCCAAAGCAGTGTATTCACAATTTTTGTTTTTATGACGTCACAAACTAGTCTGATTTTATATCCTTTTTCAGAAAAAGGACAAAATGGACAATATTTCAACAATTTTAGCTTTTAAAGTTATAGAGCGCATGTGTGTTCAGGAACAATATTGACATATTTCATTGATATTATCATTCTACACATTATATCAAAATATTTATCCTGAACACACATGCGCTCGGTGACTTTTATTTAAAATATCGACGAAATATGTACATTTTTCTGTAAAATTCATAAAAAACTGAAATTTACGTCATATTTGTGACGTCATTACGTACATATGACGTCATTACTTATGAAATTATTCAGTGCTTTGAAGTCAGCATATACTCCCCTGTTTAAGGACTTAATTAAATATTACTCCATCAAAGTTTGATTTGGGGGGCAAATATTGGTTAATACCGCATAAAGTTCTTTGCTTTGATTTTGCTTAATATAGGGATTAATTTACTCTACATTAGATCTTAAGCTGCTTCAGATGCTAGATCTGATCTAGATCTTTTCTGCATCAAATAAAGTGGTCAATTCCAAAGTTAAAATGGAATGGGCCTATTAAATGAAAGTGTAAATAACAGCTGGTATTAAAATATTAAATATAAGAAGGTTGAAAAAAGCACTGCAGAAGATGCAAATTAAGACAATGTGACACAAAATTTGTTATACTTTTGATGCACATCTTATTGATTTTCTGAGAATACTTGTACAAGATTTATTCATTTGATGGGTAAAAATGACAACATTTAGAGACGGACCACTGGAAAATATGGACATAGTATGCCTGAGGATGTCTCGGAGCGGTCCACGTAAAACTTGTCTACCATGGAATAATTGCTCTAAACTTCTTATTACACAATCGTATTGACTTGGAAAAACGGGAAAGGAATAAATGAGGTCATATTCTATGTAAAATCTATTCATCAACAAGTTAATTTGAATATACACATGGTGATATTATTATATACCCTGGGGTTTCTATGGGTTTGTACAGTAATGTGTCTGTCCAAAACATTCCTGGGTGGGCCATGCGTAAACACTATAACCTATCGGTGAGGGATCAGCCTTGAGGGACTGTACTGCCATCATATGACCATCATATCACAAGGTCAAAACCAAAAAAAAAACCAAAATAACAAAACAAAACAAAAAACAATGGCTGTCAATTCAGTTTTGAAATAAATACACTAAGCTTATTTCTGAAAAGCATTGATATGTTTTAAGAGTATATTTTCATAAATCTGCCATTTTCCAATGTATTACATTGGTAACTTTTTAGGGTAAATATGTCACTATGGAGCTCTTTATTTGACCTCTTCAGCATATAATGTCCATTAGTGGAGGTTAGTGTGTGTGTGTGCATTTGCATGTGTTTTATTTCTTTGTTTATATATTTCTTTTAAATCCCCTCCCCCATCCCAATCAAAAATTCTGAAATGCTGGATTGAAATTTGATGAAATGAAGTGTCTGAATAAAAAAAATAAATAAAAATGAAGCCTAATAACATATATATCAATGACTTTGTCTAGATCTAATTATATGTTCTTCAAAATTTTGAAAACTAAGAGCCACTCCAGGTCCTGTGAAACAAAAATTAATATATAGCCATAGGTGCATCGAGAAAAAAAAAATTAAAATCATGTATCATATCCTAGGGTTGCTAGGGTTGATTGACTTCTGGTTATTCCATAAATGGTTGGTTTTGAAAAAGACATCTGTGGCTGCAGTCCACAGCAATAATTCTTAAACTCCATGTTATCAGTAGGGATTTTCAGAAAAATACATTACTGGTACATGTATATGGATCCTGATATTTACCATACTCAGTACATGTATTCACTACTTATGATTTTCACTGTTACTAAAGCTTGGGTGGGTTGGCATCATTGACATTAGTTTATAATTTCCCGAAAGGGGTGCCTTTATCCCTTGCAAGTAAAATTTGGGAGTTGAAGGTATACCAGGATTGAAGCAGTTAGCCTTTTTTGTCTTGCTTAATGATGTATGAACACTCAATCAAATTTATTACACTTAGTATACAGTAATTAGGGCTGGAAAAAATGCAATATTTCAATATATTGCGATACATGAAATTACATTGTATCGCAATACATTTTAAAATCGATATATTGTAATATGCTTTAATTACAAATTTTATCATTAAAAATAATATTTATGAAAGTTTGTTATTAAGCCAAACAGTAAAACAGAAGTTGTTTTGTGGGACATTTCGTGGTACTTAAATGAAATCAACAAGATTTTTTTGGTTTTGGTTACTTATATATACAGTTATGTACCTCTGCATGTAAATTAAGTAAATATAGTAAGAAAATGTCATTTTAATTACATTTTAAAATATTGAGACATATCGCAATACAGTTTAAAAATATCGCAATATATTACACTTAGTATACCCAGCCCTACTAGTAATTTAAATTTATATAGAACTCAATATCTTGCATCATGTTGAAGTTTTGTCCCACTGGGCCCCAGGATCATGAAACATACAGTTGTACATCTTAATTATAATTCCAAGGACCAGGTTTTAGATAACGAAATTGACTTTATTACTTTCAATACTAAAGAAAACAATTAAAGCTTAGAAATAACAATTTCATGAGCTTACATGATATAAATAATAAATTAATTATACAACAAAAAAAATATCTGATGTATGGTCAGATTTCTTAGATCACAATCTTTCACTGGTTAAAATAAGTTAATTAAAACTTCCATTATCCCAAAAGGCAATGTATTTAGAATCGTGGATAGCACCAGATAAATTTGCAGTTTGGTTGACTAAAATTGGTATGTCTGTTCTATGTATAAAGAAAAAGCTATCCTTCCTAACTAAGACTAAGACTGGATTTACTTCAACATTTTTGACAGATACCAGTAACTAATTAATATATTGTTTTAGTCATTATTGTGCTTATTTAAGTACATTATACAAGTAATGAAAATTAATGCTACAATCTAAATTTGAAACATAAAGGTATGCCTATATGCAGGTCTATTTAATACTAGTGTAAGGGCAGACTTGGATTAGTTATTATAAATATATGAATTATTCATTTTTGTTTCTAGGACTGGGACAGAAAGAGTCCTGACTCATCAGTGGGGGTATCCATGACCTTTCAGAAGAAGGACAAGACTTGTCTGGTGTGTGGGGACAAGGCATTGGGATACAACTTCAATGCTGTCTCCTGTGAGTCCTGCAAGGCTTTCTTCAGAAGGAATGCACACAAGGTATGACCTGACATCCTGTAAACTGATCAAAAGTGTTGTTGTTGTTTTTTATGTCCCGGAATCAAAATATCCCGGGGTTACATTGTTATTGTCCTGTCTGTCTGTCTGTTTGTCTGTCTGTTGACAACTTTAACCTAGCCCTTAACTATTGCACTGTTAAGGGTAAATGTGTACCACTTCAGTACCACTATGTCCCACTCCAGAATTGTGTCAAGCAGGGGCATAGTGTTTCACAAACACATCTTGTTTTCTTATTATAACCAGTTTGAAAAACTGAGTTTTGCTGGTTTTAAAATTGAATTAATATCTATATTTTTGGTTTGTCTTTTTTTTTTAGTGAAACAGTATTCAAATTCAAAAAAAGTTGCAGAAAATATGATTGATAGCATTTTCTGATTTAATTGGTTTGAATTTTTTATGCAATGTTTACAATTTACAATTTGGATAAAGTTTTTTTGAAACTACGTTACAGTTATGTACATCCTGATGGAGAACTGATTTTGATATATAGCTATTTGTATAATTATAATGTTGGAAAAGGCTTTCTGAAAAATGTTTAAGAGCTGCTTTGTGTAAAAAGTCCCAAAATGAAAGGATGTTTCAGACTCTTTGGTGTCTTTTATTCATTTTTAAATGGGACATATTGAATGTACATTTGAATGGAAATGAACTTTGTTAATTGATAAAACATCAATAAATGTGAATGGTAATTGAATTGAAGGCAACAGTAAGAGACTTCTTCCTTGTATGTACAGTAGAAGTTTTTACTTGCTGCTTTTCAAACATGAAATCAAGTGTTATAATATTCGTATTGGAAATTTAACATATTACATTGACAGTGTGCAATGATGATGTCATAGCTGTATCGATATAGCTATATTTACAAGATGATTTTGACAAAAAGTGCTGAAGTGTATAAGTCATCAAACAAATAATTTCATCACAAAATATTAGCACATTTTTGTAAGAAAGGGAATGCTTTGACAAAGTTCCCTGGAAACATACAGCAGAGTTTTATTTGTACTTTATTTCTCCATTTACAATTTGAAATACCTTAAAAAGACTTAAAGTTTTAGTGAAATACTGTATACAGGGTTATTTTCACCCCATGTTATTTTCGCCCTTTTGCACTTCAAAATAATTTTGCCCCATTTTAAATTTTCCCAGTCATAGTTCCGTTAAACAAATTATGCTGTGTAATTTTTTCGCCCCGTTTTAAATTGGCCCAATCAAGAAGAGGACGAAAGGGGCGAAAATAAGACGGGGGCAAAAATGTCCCTGTATACAGTATTCCTTTAATAAGTGATCTTTAGATGTTTGAAAATTAAGGCTTTCCTTCAAAGTCATTGTTTCTCAGACTTCAATTGTTTTATTATACAGTTTATATTTATAAATTGTCAGAAAAATTGTCAGCATTTAGAAATTTTCATGTAATAGCACATTGTGTGTTGTGAAATGATGTGAATTGGTTGGCAGCTAGAGTTCATTTTGAATCAGCTGAAGTAGCATATTTTAGTCCTGAAAACAGGCAAAAATGACATTTTAAATGGTGTAAACCTTTATATCTGCACTTTGGCTTTAATCAACTCAGATTTTTGCAAAAAAAAAAAAATTGTAATATTCCAAGGTACAAAATTTTTTGATACTTTAAACAAAATTATCAAATCATAATGCTAGCCTGTATAGCACACATTAATTAAAACACATTTGCATGTCATCTTCTTGGACTATTAAATTGCAATTTATACTAGCCAGTGCCTACAAAGTGATACATCTACATGTACTTTAATTAATGTTAATACTCCTTATTTAAGAAACTAAAAATTTCAGATAGGTCAAAAGATCAAACTGACAGGGGTTTTATGGTGGTAATACATAACGGCCAACTGAGACATGACTTTTTCTGGCTTTACCATCATGCCAGGTTATGAAACAGTGTATAGTGTTACAGGCTTACTGTGTAAAAAAAAAAAAATCTGGTTTAAGGGTGAATAGGTAGCTAGAGACTGCAAAATTGCTTCTCAAGTCATGTTTTGTTATTTGCAAAGAAAGTTTATTTATTTCAGCTTTTTCTTGACATTATTTTAATAGTGTATTTGTCAATATATATATAGCATGTATGCTGTAAACATGTTAATTCCTGTCTGTAAATTGACTTTTTGGCATCAGAGTGTTCTGTATGGTCACTAAGAACTCAGATATTGACCCTACTTGTACCAGAAAAGTAAATACACTTTTGTGTGGTGTGGAAATATATTTGAACATTTCAAAGAGTTGTTATTCCCTAGTCATTAATCATAGGTTTCTGGCACCTGAGACAATTCTGTACTGTCCGTTGCGTAGGTTTTTTTTTGTTTTTTTTTTTTGGTTTGTTTGTTTTTTTAACTGGTTTTGAGGGCAAAAAGTTTATGCTTAATTCTATCAATATTGATAGTGAATTTAGTCAAGAGTTCACTGGCTGTTTTGGATTATACTACTTAGAGACCTGGTGAATTAATGCATGTAACATGTAACAAGATTATTTTTAGATCAACGGAGTCACTTTGGTGACCTATTGCTGTCTATTTATCGTGTTTATGTCCAGCTTTGTGCGTGTGTTTTGTGAAAACATTTTCACATTTTCAGAACCACTGGACCAAATTGTCACTCAGACTTGTTATGCTTTATGTAAAAGGGAAATAAATTTGTTTAAATGAAGGGCAGTGCCCCCCCCCCCCCCAATTCAAGGGAAGACTGATAAAAAAGGATTCAAATTATATGTATTCTTTGTTAGAAGCATTGAGCCTGAAAAATTGAAAGACTTCAAAGAAAGCCTCATAACAACATGTACATTCAATTTCTGTTCAAATCATGACCCAGAGGGATAGGGTGTGACATAAAAGAGGATTGAAATTAACATGAATAAGATATTAGAAGAAATCTTTAAGAATTTTCTCGACAACAGTAGACCATGATTGGTCATTGGTCATATTATTTCGGAAGGTTCCCTGGTTGTACACATATAAGTTCAAATTAAGACATGAAGAGCATAGCCACAAAGGGTCCTTGAAGTTTAAGAATAGATAAGGACGTGTAGGAAAAATATTATTTACAAGAACAAAAAGGCATGATTAAACATATTTATGCAGAAGTCTTCTCAGATAGCGAAGCTTCAAGTTTGTTCAAATCATGACCCAAGGGGGTGAAATAAGGCCACAATGAAGGATCAAACTTTTTACTCAGGACAGATCTTTGCAAATCTTCAATCTTAAGAACTACAAGGTGACTGCTTAGGCCCATGGACCTCATGTTTCCTGAATCAAACTCAGATGAGGAATTCCAATATACATGTACATGTATCTTTTATTTTGTGTGTATATGTGTGTGTGTGGAATGAGTAGGGGTCATTTAAATGAAAGAGAATATCAAACTTGAAAGGCAGTGTCAAAACATCAGAAATAAGCTATCTAGTGCACTTGATTTTTAAGCTTTTTCACTGATTCAGAATAAATGAAAATTTATAAAATATTGTAATTTTTATATGCCCGTCTTATTATGTTATAGGCTTTGTGTCCATCCGTCTGTCCGTCTGTTAGCTTTTCTCGTGTCCGGCTCATAACTTTAATACTATAAGGCCTAGAGTTATCAAACTTTGTCAGCTGATACATCTTGGGTAGAGGGTGTGTCGCGCACAAAAAGTAGGTCGCTCTGACCTATAATTAAAATGTTATAGCCAAATATGGAAAAATCCTGTCCGGTCCATAACTAGAAAACAATAAGACTTAGAATCATCAAACTTGGCCAGTTTATGCATCTTAGGTAGAAGGTGTGTCGCGACCTATTTCAAGGTCACTGTGACCTTTAATTTAAGTGAAATTTTTAAAAAAATGTGTCTTTTTTTCTTTTCATTTACACACTCCAAAAAATGTAAGAGTATAGCACTATCCTTATTAAAAAAATGTTAAATCAAGAAAATACTTATTTTTTTAGCATATTCTTGACAGCAATCTATAACAAATATAATGTATGTTAGAGAAATTCCACCACTCCCATGAGTGTAGTTATCAAGCACTGGTCAAGAAGAATTTTGATAACAGAAAATTGCACTCAAAGTAGAGCATCAGTGCTATCTATATCCCACTGGGTATTGGGCAAATTGGGTTAGCCTGTTGGATTAAAAATAGCTCTTGTTGGCTAGCCTAAGTTTTAAAATGAATTTGATGAAAAGTAATTAAAACTAATTTGATATTGCATATTAAACTATTTTGATATTACATAATATTATGAACTTAAAAACTAATTTCATGGGGTTGGGGTGGAATCAGCATGTCCAAATGAATTGCATATTAAAACCTGTTTGACATTAAATCTAAAAAAAATTGTTGATGTTTTAGATGTTTTAAAATTGTTTTATGGTAGATAGTGCAGATCCAATAATCTCTTGGGAGTAATGAGTAGACAAGCATCCAGTTAAAGATTAATTAATGTGTTCAATGTAGGAAAGCTAAGCGTCTCAATCATTTCTTCAGAGCATTGTCTTATCTGTATCCTTTGGGAATTAGACAGAAGAACTGCTGGTCAGTTTATATTTGATGGCCAGCCTTTTATTTTCAAAATTAATTAGGTATAGATTAAGTTGTTCAGACTAATTTGATATTTTCTAATATGATGGGCATTTGGCAAGGTCTAACACAACCAGTATAGAAATCTATGAATGGTACAATATTTGTTATAATTAATGCCTACACCACAGGAGATGGATAAACAAATATTTTAAGGAATGGAAAAATCATGGAAAATCTTAAAATCAAGGTTGACATCAGATTTTCTTGCACTTTAAACTGTTTAAGATAATTGTAATTTTTTGACGGGCGTATCATGCTGTGGTGTGGAACTTTATTTTGTTATTTTAGTCCATAATAGAAAGTCATAAATTTTCAGGTAATTCGTGGGAGGTGTGAAGGAAGATGTGACATCACAATAGAATCACGATCTTTCTGCAAAAAGTGTCGTCTGGCAAAATGCTTCACAGCTGGTATGAGGAAAGACATGATACTGAGTAAGTTAAATTTAGAGATTGTAAGCAGATCAGTTTATAAAAAAATTCTTTGAAAGCTTCTAGTGGTAATGAACACCTGTGTATAAATGTATTGTTCTTGGAGTTTTTGTATAAGCATTCTGACCTGTTGAACTTAATACTGCTTATATTTTTAGCTAACCTGAGCTGAAGGCAAAAGTGAGCTTTTCTGCTCATTTGTTGTTTGTCTGTTGCCACTGTAATCTTTTCACATTTTCATCTTCTTGTCAAGAACCAGTGGGCCAAAGTCAACCAAACTTGGTACAGAGTATCCTTGGGTATAGGGGATTCAAGTTAGATAGTGAAAATTGGGTGGGTATGGGTAATCTAAGTTTTACATAGAAATATATAGGAAAAATCTTTAAAAATCTCCTCAAGAACAGCTAAGCCATGATTGTTGATATTCAATAGATAGTGAAGATTCAAGTTTGCTCATCAAATGACCCCAGGTGATAGGGTGGGGCCATAATGAGCAAAGTATCACTTTGAAATACAGTATACATGTATATAAGAAAAACATTTAGAAATGATATCTTCCCAAGAGGAGCAAAGCCATCATAAGTGATATTTTATGGAAGCATCTTTAGGTTGTGTGGGTCCATCTAACAAAAGTAAACTGAATTTAGGAAACAGCTTAGAGAGGTTCCTTAACAATAAATGAAAATTTGATAGCATCTTTAAAATCATCTTTATCATTCAGAAATATATATGCAATGTATCAGAATCTTTTCTTAGAAAAGTAGCACTTGCAAATAATATTTTTTGTTTCTTGAAGATGATGAGCAGAAACAAGTAAGGAAACAGAAAATTATCATCAACAAGTTACGGAAACATGGCCAACTTCCACCAGAGGATACCTACGCTGCTACTCAGCAGGATGTCAGCGACACTCTACAAGATCAGTTCCGTTCACAGACACTCCACAATTTACGGATGTCTTTCCCGAACTTGTCGGACAAAGAGCTGGATGTTCTGATGAAAATGAAAAGTGAGCCCTTCAATGCTAGTAGGTTCCCTTCAGCTGACATCAAATATCCAAGCTGGAGTGAATCGCAAGAGATTGTGGCTGAAACCATAGCAAGCTTACCCGAGATTGACCAGTGCATTCTTAATGAGTTAAGGATAGCTCATGAACAGAGTTCATTCTTGGCAAACACTTCAACATCATTAAAAGCTCCACCATCGAATGCTACGGAGTTTGTGAACTTAGCGGAAGGTTTTGTGAGAAGGATAATTAAAGTGGCGAAGAACATTGAATTCTTCAAAATGATTTGTAAGGAGGACCAAATTGCTTTACTAAAAGGCTCAGTAGTGGAGATTATGATGCTACGATCAGCAATAAACTATGATGTTCAAACAGAATCTTGGAGTTTTAGCACTATGAAGTGTTTGTCTAAAAGTCCTGGCCCCTCATCGAGTTCTGATTCAGGGTCAGGATCACAGATGAGCGGAGCTTCTCCTTCCACAGAATTACAGGCTGAACCATTATCCCAAAAAATGGGCATGGGAATGGGAGCATTTCCTGGAATGGGACAAATGGGAGGACTAGGCAAAGAAGAGGATTTGATGAAACTGCGGGAGATGATGGGTGCTCGCATGAAAGAGGAGGGAGGGGGGATCAGTGGTGTTGGAACAGTCAGTGCAGATATTCTCAAAATGGGAGGATCAGAAACTCACAATATGTTCTTGACTTATTCTAAATTCATCAAGTCCCTGATGAGGACAATTCATGGGGATTTATTGGCATTAAAGCTTCTGATCATGCTGTCTTTGTTTTCAGCAGACCGACAAGGTGTTCTTGAACATGACAAAATTCAACAGATCCAAGAGTGTTATGCTGGAATTCTACAAAAATATGTTCAGAGGAGATTTCCAGAGGACAAAATCATGTTTGCCAAAATTGTTATGAAACTGACCGATCTTCGAAATATTAATGAAGTGCATACGAAAATGTTGCTCAAAATGAAAGTGGACAGTATAGAACCTTTGTTGATAGAAATATTTGATTTGCCAAATGAGTGAATGTTACAAGCTTATTTCATTACATTCAGAGTTCATTATATCACCAATTGCTCAATCATCTGAATATTTTATAACATCATATTGATTGTAATACTAAATTGAAGCTTCATCTTCACTTGTTTTCAAATTGTAAATATGGCTGTTTGATAGTTCATTCCTTCCAGTGCATTGTTCAGACAATGCATGAAGAATTTTCAAGCATGAAAAAGAGCCACATAATATTGCAATTTATCAAGCAATTAATTACTTTTATGAAAAGAATTTGCAAATGAGTTCTTGAATTTCGAACTCATGTTAAATGTTTTAGATACTGTATTTAAGTAGAGTAGGATTCATAACTCAATCACATTGTCAAAACGCAAAATAAGCATGAAACAAATGTTACATATTACATTGTGTTAGCTGGGGGTTAAGTAAACTAAGTAAAGCTAATTATTACTAAAATGAAATGGTAAAATGATGGTTTGTTAAAATGACTATACGTTTTTTATTGAACACTGAAAAATAAATTAAAAGTAAGAACCCAAGCAAATACCAAGTGTAAAATGTGTAACAAAAGGATGTCATCTTGTTTTATTGATGAATTTTTACAATTACCATTTTTCCAAAGTGTTTGATTCCTGAATGTAGAGTACCGGTAATTTACAGCTGTGTCTATTGTAGATTGTTGTGATTTGTACTAAAATGAATGCCAGATCAGAATTAAGTTTTATCAGTGAATGCTAACATAATTTTCCTGGTAAAATAAACTGTGAAGCATTATTAATTTTTGTTTAAATACCTTTATACATGTATTGTATTTTCAGTCCCTAAAGAACATTTTGCAAAGTGTTAACATATGATTACTTAATTTTCTCAAACCTCTGTTAGAAATTTTATATCAGACCAAGATATTTATCACTTTTTATGAAATCCGTTGCTAGTTACTAATTTTGCCTCATTTTTTTGCTCCAAAACCTAAATTTTGAAAGGTCAAAGACCTTAGCCTAGATACATATATAGAAGGCAAACTATTTTCAAAAGAAATGTCTTTATTTCTTGACACATAGGGAAAAAATTATCATAGGGTATGTAAGTTTTTAACTTTAATGCTGAATTCTTTTTCTTTATTTTGTAAACATGTTTTCTTGTTTAATGTTGTACTTGTTAATTGTTGTTACAAGAATTTTGTTTTTACTTGCTTTTTTCAATATTTTCGACTGTTAACTGACAACTAACACATGTGAATAGTGCTTCATAACCTTAACTCTGTACAACAGGATTTCAAATTGTTAGGACTCCTTAGAATTGAAAACAGTACTTCTGTCCTAAACCTACCAGCCAAAAACTTGTCCAAGTTGACAAATGGCAAAATTTGAACATCTCTTGACTCTTCACTCATGCTTGTACATAATTTTCTAAATGTAAGAAGATCAAGAAACCTTGTTCAACTGTTATCATTCAATGCGTTTTAGATTTTTTTCACAACTTTGATGAATCTTTTTTTTCTGGTGTTGTTTGACTTGTTAAAATGTTTCTTCTACTCCTGACCGGTGGTAATTTGTCCCAGTGCTATAGGAGCTTTACTTTTTGCTTTTCTGCTTTCAACAATGAAGATGTGACAACACACATACCATGTGATTTATTGATCGTGTTAATGGATAATTCAGTGTACAAAGTTCATGAAGTGTTATTTCTCTTCGTGTGATAATCGTAAATATTCCATGTGGCAACAAAAGATTTCTGATGTGAGGATTTTCAATAGTGTAGGTTCTTTCACACTTTTCATGAAAAATCTGCTAGAATACAGTCTTACTTACCTGGTTGATATTGTCACTGTAAAGAATTTGTTAAAATTCTGAGTGCAAAAAGGTTATTTGTATTTTTATTTAAAGAAACAGAGATTTAGAATAGAGGGAAATGACTTTTTTTTTCAGCATAAAGAATCTTCGAAAGTAAAAAGTTACATATTTATCCTTTTAGCATCAGTATATTAACAGCTGTATGAATGAGTGCATGACCTTTAAAAAAAAATTTAAGAAAAGACTGGTAAATACAATATTTTCCTTACCACTGTTAGTTAGCAACAAAATGGCTGTAAATGGTTGTAGTGGTAATCTATACATGTACATCCCATGAGAATTTTTATACTTGTCGATTGTTCATCATTTCCATTCCGCTTACGTTTGTTTTAAAGCGATGTTTTTTTTTTTATATATAAAGAAAGTGAATTAATTTTTGACAAACTGCTGTGAGATTTCAATGACTCAGGACATTACAAAGGGCAAGGGCATTGTATCAATAGAACTTCCCATTAGTTCACATATACCTGTACCATGAAAATTAGGAACAAGTCATTTATAGATTCAGATTTCTATGCTGTCATTACTAGCCACTTGTCTACCTTGCCAGGATTTTTCTTGAGACTTTAAATCCAATAACTTCACAATTTTTAGTTTCCTTTTTATTATCAAGTTCTCAGTCTGTCTTTGAATTTCTTTAAAAATGCTAGTACACACTCTGAAAATTGTATTCTAATTTCAGTTAAACCTGACATTGGGGCCATAAAACTTAAAGAAGCTCACTTTTGATTGCAGTCTCACTTTTACAAAGGGAATTAATAGTGGAAAAGTGAGACTGAGATCAAAAGTGAGCTTTTCTAAGTTTTATGGCCTCAGAGCCTGGGGCCCCTTTTACAAAACAACTTACGACTAAGACCAAAAATTTCAGATTGTTGTAATATTTTGCAAAATTAATATTTCTCTTTCAAATCGTTTGTGTAGAAATATCATACTACATTCCTTTTAAAAAGTTTAAAGTAATTTTCGATAAAATGTTTATTAAAAATTTATACGAAGAATTAGATTTGGTCTTAAGTCGTAAGTCCTTTTGTAAAACGGGCCCCTGATATTCCCTTAACTTACTTAGTTTTGAATTTGGTGTTAATTCCAAAGAACAGTTTTAATTTGGTCTCAGCAAGATAATTGGTGAAATTTCACCAGGATGCCTCCTACATAATTACATAGTCTTACTTCAGTTAAAGACCTAGAGTTCCTGTATATTGGTTTTTGATTTCAATGAATGATGTTACAAATTGGATCCATTCAAATTGTTCTTTTCTTTCGAAAAGTCAAATGAGGATCTTACGATCATTGTAAATTATGAACAAAATTAAAGATGGAAGATGTATAGTATCAGTAGGGACTTTTGGTTTATATCTTTAAAATAACATTGTTTCAGCAATGCAGACAATGAAATAGAAAAGGCAGGGTACTGCTGGCATTTTAGAAAAGGTTTAAGAAATCTGTCTCTTTTATGGTCTATTATGTACATGTTGATCAAAAGCATGGACAAGAACACCATACTGATATTATTTTGTACCTTTAATATAGGATAATGATAGAAATATTGAGAATCCTTTTTTTAAATCAAGGAAATTAGCTTGAGTGATTGTAGGATTAAATGATTTTGAAAATTTTTTAATAGGAACGATATATATTTAAAATCTTGATATTAAATATTTTGCCAAACTTTAGATGTAGATGAAGTTGATATATTTTTCTAAAAATAAATCTACTGTAATTGTAAGCTGTGTGGTTTCAGCTCTTACACAATTGTCACCATGTCATTTTTTTTATATATTGACATATTAGGATTCCATGATATACAGCCACAACTTTTCCATTTTTTTTTGGCCAGATTGCAGAGCAAAACTTGTCCATGGATACCCAATGCTCATTCATTCATTTGCTTTATTCAACTGTTGTTTCACACGTACAACATTTAAATTAAACTTTTTTTGAGGTTTTTGCCAAATTATCCTCCACATACTTGAAGGTTTACTATGTTTACCGTTAATTGTTACATGTAGAAACACTCCATTGGAGTTGGCCTTTCCCTTCCTCTTAAAACTGGTCTATAAAACAGATAGTTTTGTTCTGTTAGCCTAGTAATTTGATTATCTTCTTTTAGTAATTACTTATACATGAATCAGGATGAGGTTAATGAAGAATCTGGGTGAAATAAACTACAGTAGTAATTCTCTTCCAAAATTAAATGAAGAAGTAGCACATTCTGAGCTGACATTGTCATTGACTTTTGAAATAAATCAATGAATCATTCTCCTCTAGGTAAATTTGTTTGATTAATAAAAATTACTTCACTTAATTAGATAAGTCAAGGTGATCAATGATTCCAGTACATTTCTGAATTAATCTTTCTCTGTGGAACTGTAAAATGAAACCTTTCTTTGGATACATGTAATAGCTACTCTCACTGTCATGTACACATAGATTAATCTGGAGGATCTGTAGTCCTTTGATTCTTATTTGACTTGAATTGCTGAAAAATAATTAAAATAATGAAAATAATAATATGTGATTGATGAGTACAAATGTAGTATGTATTAAATGTCATTTTCATTGTTGACTTTGACCTTTACCCTTGAAACAAATTTTTTTCAAGGATTTTTTTTTTCAAGGTGATGTCTCTTTATGCTGTCACAACATTTATGAGTTTTGGATACTTTGCAATCTGGCCCTTCAGTCCTTAAAATTAGCAAATTTTTAACTTAGAATATGCACTTTTTTGTGTGCAATTTGCATTTGAAAATGTTATTTTTGAATTTCTGATATGTCCATTGAGGCCACTTGCTATTAACAAATTTTCTTGAAAAGTTGTGATAATGGGTACCAAATCTATGCTTTAAGAGGTAAAATGAACAATGATTGAATGAATAAGCCAAGAAAATTCATTTTTTTTTCCCAAATAATTTCTTTATTGTCTATGAAAGGATTTTTTTATATTTAGATTTATATGGGGTATGGAAAAGTAATAATTGTAATAACAAAATCTTTAACTTTTAATATTTTAATACTTCCAGAAATTGAAATTTGCCTCTGATATACACGTGCATGGATACCAATCCATGCATCCGATTTTTTGTTTGTAGCAAGTGTCCTTAAATATAAAAGAAGACATTGTAAAACCAAGAGCGGTCTACATCGAGAAGTGCTATTTCTGTCCAGTATTCCACATTGATACATGTAGTTGTCTTGTTATGCTTTGTAGTTTGCCTTCGTTTAATGTGATATGTTATGTTATGTAATAAATTCTATCTATATTCTGTCTGTACGTGTCGTCGTTTTCTTTGACCAGGAAATGGTTTCTACGAAGCGAGATTGATCTGGTATAACTCATTAACAATGTGCATTGGTCGACTTTTCTTTTTAGTTCATTTAGTACTTCTTTGAGAAAAGCATAAAAGTCAGCTGTTTATAGAACTTGATGACGTTTTTATTCATAGAACAAATTATGTAATGGACCTTACTTTTAAGCTGTGCCATAAAAAGATAATTTTGCTGATTTCCCTGACAGTAAATTAAACAAGCTAATTCAGAGAATCTTTGTCCCCTGCTGAAGGTTAAAGAAGAGGATGCACGGAAAGGGAGTGGGGTTGGACACTTAAAGAAGGCTAGTCGAGACGATAGGAATTAATGGTATTAAATTTCATTGCTTAAGCTTAAAATCTTCAGGAATTGCCCGGAAATGAAACTTTACACACTAACAGAATGTATGATTTTACGACCTTGACCTTTGATCTCAAAATAAAAGGGGTCTTCCATAGAGTGTAGGAAGTTATAATATAAAACTTCACTGCAAAGGCTTCTCGAGATATCGTGAAACAAAAGTAGTAAAACAGACAGAATTTATGTCTTTGACCTTTAGACCTCAAAATGATAGGCGTCGTCCTTAGGCCATAGAGCATGTGTAAAATTTCATTGCAAAGGCTTAAGGCTTCTCGAGATATCTCGCGGAAACGAACGTATACGAGAAATACAAACGGACAGACAGGTCGAAATTAATATCCCCCACTTTGTGAAAGCAAGGGACAAACTAAATAAATAAACAATGGCCAAAAAGAGGTCAAAAATACACACCCTTGCATGCTTTTGATTTATTAGTACTCGCCGATTGTCACCGTATATAGAATATACAATTTGTCTAAATATATGTGTTCCATTGTTTTATACTTTTCAAAATTGAAAATTTATGAACATGTAAAACAATTTTCAAGATCAGATGTGATATAAAAAGAAATTTAAGGTTTCTTTGTAAGCGATTTTATGGGCGTTGATCCGAAATTATGGCGTACGTAGACAATTAATATAAACATCAAATTATTTTTAGCTCACCTGAGCCGAAGGCTCAAGTGAGCTTTTCTGATCACATTTTGTCCGTCTCCGTCCGTCCGTCCGTCTGTCTGTCCGTCTGTAAACTTTTCACATTTTCGACTACTTTTCAAGAACCACTGGGCCAATGTTGACCAAACTTGGTACAAAGCATCCTTGGGTGAAGGGGAATTTAAATTGTTAAAATAAAGGCCCAAGTCCTCTCACAAGGGGAGATAATCAAGAAAAGACAAAAATAGGGTGGGGTCATTAAAAAATCTCAAGAACCACTGGGCCAGAAAAGCTGAAACTTATGTGGAAGCATCCTGGGGTAGTGTAGATTCTAAATTGTTCAAATCATGACCCCCGGGGGAAGGGCGGGGCCACAATAAGGAATCAAAATTTTACATAGAAATATATAGGAAAAATCTTTGAAAATCTTCTTCTCATGAACCACTGGGTCAGAAAAGCTGAAACTTATATGGAAGCATCCTGGTATAGTGTAGATTCTAAATTGTTCAAATCATGACCCCCGGGGGAAGGGCGGGGCCACAATGGGGAATCAAAATTTTACATAGAAATATATAGGAAAAATCTTTGAAAATCTTCTTCTCATGAACCACTGGGTCAGAAAAGCTGAAACTTATGTGGAAGCATCCTGGGGTAGTGTAGATTCTAAATTGTTCAAATCATGACCCCGGGGGAAGGGCGGGGCCACAATGGGGAATCAAAGTTATACATAGAAATATATAGGAAAAATCTTTGAAAATCTTCTTCACAAGAACCACTGGGCCAGAAAAGCTGAAACTTATGTGGAAGCATCCTGTGGTAGTGTAGATTCTAAATTGTTCAATTCCTGACCCCCGGCGGAAGGGCGGGGCTATAACTGGGAATCAAAGTTTTACATAGAAATATATAGGAAAAATCTTTGAAAATCTTCTTCTCAAGAACCACTGGGCCAGAAAAGCTGAAACTTATGTGCACATGAAGCATCCTGGGGTAGTGTAGATTTCAAAATTGTTAAATTATGATCAGTGGGGTAGGGTGGGGCCACAATTACAATCAAATTTTTTAATAATAATATATAATGAAAAATAATAATAATTTATTTAAAGAGAACCACTGAGCAGAAAAGCTGAAACTTATGTGCACATGGAAGGACATTCACAATAATACAATTATAAAAACATTGTACAAAATGTATAATAAATAATGAACATCAGTGGGGTAGGGTATGCATTATGTATTACAAGGGGAAATTATATAACATTCTGGTAAAGAACAGAATGATCAAAGCTTCTCAGGTGAGCAATGTGGCCCATGGGCCTCTTGTTGTTTAGTAGGGTTAGCCCCAACAAAAATACTATAGTTACATATAACTATAGTTTACTAGAGTTAACTATAATTTATTATAGTTAACTATATAATTTACTGTAGTTAACTATAGTAAATCAAAGTGTCAAAGTTATCACTATAGTTATAAATCAAAGTTTTTCAAAGTGATCACTGTAGTATATCAAAGTGATCTCTATAGTGTCATAGTTATCACTATAGTAAAACAAAGTTTTCAAAGTTATCACTATAGTACATCAAAGTATTTACCACAGTAAATCAAAGTTTTCATAGTTATCACTATAGTAAATCAAAGTTTTCATAATTATCGCTTTAGTAAATCAAAGTTACATTATATCTCTATAGTAAATCAAAGTGTCAAAGTTTTCACTGTAGTTAATCAAAGTTTTTATAGTGCCAAAGTTGTCACTATCGTTAACTACAGTATTTTTTTATTAGGGTCGACTTGGCTGAGACTGTTAAACGAACTGAAATACGAGTGAAACAATTGGAATTCAATATTTAACATCTTAAACAGAGAAATGGTGCAATTAACTTTAAAGTTTAATATTAAAACATCTATAAAATACCCAAAACCTCTTAACAAACAATTCAATATTTTAGGACAGTTATAACAGATCATAAAATATATAGATCAGAGGAAAGAAGCAGAACAGTTTTTGACAATTAAGAAAGTCTACGACTGTGTACTCAACTAGTTACGGATGAATCTTTATTCAAGTCTACTTGACTTTGCAATTTCGATATCGTCGTCTTTGCAATGTTGATACGATATGGCGTTTACACTTTCTGCATTGTTATTCCAATGTCTACCCCGTCGACATTGCAAGGTCGGCAATATCAGTATTCTTACGATATCGTTGAGCATAGTTTAGCCAAAATATCCATAGGTTCCTTTTCAGTGACTTTGTATGGAAAGTCAACAGCTTGCGCAGTTCGTTCTATCATTCTCCAACTCTCTGATCCATACCAAACGATAGGATGCAGATTTGTATCGTTTCAGTTTTGTCTGTACTAAATCTCCTAAGTTATTGAATGCTGCTCATGTGTTGGATTGTTCTCTTTGATATCAGTCTCTGCTCCACCATCTGTTGTTACTCTGCTACCCAGGTACGTGAAGGTGTTGGTGCATGGAAGGATGTGATTTTCAACTTTTGTTACATTTAGGGTCATGGCCTCTGTTTTGGTGCTTCCTGCATATTTGTGGAACTTGTTGGTTTTGTCTTGAATGTGCTGGTGGAAGTGATAAAATAAAGGCTATATCAGCAAAGTCTAAGTCTTCTGGTTTCGTGAATGTACTCCATCTGATGCCTCTTGGAATGTCAGATGACGTTTTCTTCATGACCCAGTCAATGTCTATGATGAATAGTATTGATGACATTACACAGCCTTGACGTACTCCTGTTTTAACGTCAAACTCGATGCTGACGTTTCCAACTCTGCATCAGAAATTGACATACGTTGACACTGATGATGACATCTGTAAGATGTTGTGTGATGCCAGATGACCAGACAGTTTCTATGAATGCTGTCGAAGGCTTATTCGAAATCAATAAAATTAATATAATGGTCGTTGCTATTCTGTACACTGTTCAATGATGTTTCGATGTTTCTTAGTGTCAGAAATTTAATCAGTACGTCCTCACCCTGGCCTAAACCCTTCTTGTTCTTTACGAAGTTTGACATCCACATATGCGGATATTTTTGTGATGATGATTTTAGTCATAATCTTACTTGGGATGGAATGCCCCAACGACATCGTCGATTAACGAATGTTAGGGACATATGCAACGTAGTTTAAACTTTTTTGTCTTTTTCCATGGAGTTGAAGAGTTCCAATACTTTAAGGAAGTGTGTGTTATACTTAAATGTCCATATATGGTGCTGTACACCTTCTAAAACAAGTGTTTTTTTCTATAGAAAGAAACATCTATAATATATGTTTACTAATTTTGATATATTTTTCTTTGAATAATCCAAGAATTTTCTTTAATTGATATCTTTCAAAAACCCCTTGGTAATGCATGCTGGTTTTTGGTCTTTGAACATCTGATGACACTATAATCTTAAATCAAGAATTATCAGTAGGTAAGGTACGTTGCGTATGACCTTAACAGGTTAAGACGATATATGTTGACATAACACATGTAGGCCCACATAGCAAAATCAATGATGATGCCAGGATAAGACAGTGCAATATTGACATGATGTCAACTAAGCGACATCCAACATTGCGATGTTGAAATAGTAACGTATCTATATATATATATATATATATATATATATATATATATAAAGCACAAATTACAACAACTCTTAAACTAATATAACTGCCCTAAGTTAAGAAATATTAATATAGAAAGCCCAAAGAAATTCACTTTTACATGGATACCCATTTCCGCCCCAGCCCGGGATTGAACTCTCGACCTTCGGAATCTGTCTCCTAGCAGTGCAGGAACAGCGCGCTAGACCGCTCGGCTATCTAGGCAAGTTAAAAAACCTTGCTTTCGATGCCGATGGAATTCTCCCGACGCTGCCCTACACTACACGGTCATTGAGAATAGAAGTGAGATACAGTTATTTGGACATTAGTTTTAACAGAGGAT